AGGACAGAGCATGGATGGACCGGCAGCACAGGGTCCAGACTTTCCAGGTGAGGAGTGAAAGCAGAGCAGCCAGGTGGGAACATCTGTGGAACATCTGCAGCAGGGCTGTCTGTCCCAGCTGTTTGGTTTCAGTTGGACAGGGGACGACACAGGTGTGTTCACCTGTTGGATCACAACAGTTGGAAACCTTGAGGTGCTCTAAAACGTCTGAGCGGTGGTGTGTGTGTGTATGTATATATATATCTACACACACACACACACACACACACATACATTTATATACAGGGTGGGCCATGGAAAAGTAGCCCATGTACCCGTGGCACCGGTATTGGGGAGATGACTTCAGTGCGTTGTCCATGTGACAGAAGGAGAGACGTGGTTGGGGCGATGAGGTCCATTTGTGTGTGTGTGTGTGTGTGTTTATATATGTGTAAACACACTACATTTGTAAATCTCAGTGGGATTACTCTAAAAAAAACAAAGGTAAAAGAAAAGTCTTTATACAATGTAGAACAACAATAGACAAGGGTCTGAGCTTTGAGGAACTGCAGGAGTGAACGGTCACGGTGGATTTACAACCACAGAAACTGCTTTGAGAAAGATGAGAGTTCAGTAGAGCCAGTACCCTTTGTCCTGATGGTGTTCAGTTAAAATCAAGGGGCTGCAGCATGGCCTTAAAGCAATACGACAAATTTATATTCACCAGAGACCTGGGAGGAAGAAGAAACTGTTTTCACTTCAGATGTTTTACCTGGAGGTGCAATGTGTCTGCAGAAGTAGATGACAGCATCCCGACCCTGGCGCTGCTGCTTGGTGATTTAAGAACTGACGTGCAACCTGCTGCAAGTCTGGACAGGTTCTCTGAACAGTTACTGAACACAGCACAGTAACGGCACACACAGTACAGTTCTGGTCACCTCTCTGAAACACCACGCTGTGACTGTGGAGAGCAATCTAACGGTCACAAAACCTCATTATAAAAGGCTAAAAACAAATGAGCACCATGACACTGATGGATAAGAATTCAAATGATTTGTACTTGACTGGTCTGACTACATAAACATCAGAACAATCCAACCGACCGGTCCTGAGACATCTCACTTAGACAGGAGAGAGAGGAGCCGGACACCGCGACACACAGCGCCTGTGGGTGTGACAGCTGGACACATATGTTACCACTGCAACAGTAACAATGTCAGGGCACATTTCTGGCACAAAGCTGCTGCAGTGACACAGAATCCAGCAACCATATGACTGTTTACAGGACTGGTGCCACCTGAGGGCAACAACACAATTTTCATTAATGGAGAACTTGTCAATGAGTTTCATTAATTGTCTTTATTATTTGGCAATAATCCTAAAAGACAACATGTTTAGAGGAGCTGGGATCAGCGCCGAGCCAGGACCTGCAGCCTGGCTCTGTCCACTGGACTAGTACAAACCTGAGGACCCTGATCCTACTGCAATTTAATCGACAGTCAGTGGCAGCGGCTCACTCAGTCTTTCAGTCAAGTCCCAGAGACAGAGCCCCTCCTCCTGCTGGGAGCTGTGGGACGGAGGAGCTCCCTCTGTGCTCTCATGTTTCTGCTGTGCTCTTCTTCCATAAACCTGAGTGGCAAACTCACTTTGCATCAGTGCAACCTGCACATGTTCATTAACATGGACACATCCACTTGGGCTCTGGGCTGAAATGTTGTAAACTAAACAATGGATGGAACAAATAACGGACATAAGACAGCTGGGTACAGCAGCCAGGCCAAAGAGCCGGGGTGGTAAAACTGCTGCTTTTCTGGAGAACCAACAAGGCATCATGGGTTTGCAGGACTTTCGAGGTGTGGCAGCTGCACAGCCTCAGGAAGCGCAGTGCCAACATGATTGTGGTTACGAGCCAGGCTTCGACATGCAGCACTTTAAATCATTGCTAACTAAGCTAAAATTGGTTAATTTGGACAAGCTAACATTCTGTAGCTCAGTTCAACATCAACTAAACATAGTTTGAAGTCCAACCACGTGGTCAAGCACCGACCTGCACCAGCTCCAAGATGTCTGCGATTTGCCCATATGCTGAATTCACTGTTAGCGTTTCCTGTGTGCCATTTCCCGCTGGACGGACAGAAACTATCACTGATTTACTTTGGTCCTGAAGAAAACTTAAAAATCTGAATATTCTCAGGCAGGTTCTGCAGTTACAGGGCACATCTCTTCTCTGTGATTTCTCAGAGGACAGACATCACCTCAGTTCCATGTTTCTCCCTCTGAGTCCCCCTACAGGAATATACCTATATGTCCATGTGTGGAAGCTGCTGTAATGGTTCAAAGTCTGGCCCAAACAACCCCCACAACAAATGTTTACCTTCCATTTAAGAAAAAGTAGACCTGCAGACCCTGTTGGTTTTTCATTCAAAACTACTGCCTGTTGCTGTTGTCTCTCCTGTCCTGTTCTGACCTTCTGTTTTCCCGAGTTCTGATTGGTTCCCTCTGTTGTCCCTGCTCCGTTTCCTGTCCTGCTCTCTCATCTTCTAGTCCTGTTATTTCCTTTCTGCCTGATTATTTCTCAATCAAGCCTTAGTTTGTTGCATCAGGTTCTTCTGTACTGTCTTTTCTTCCTGCCTTGTTTTTAACCGTTTCCTTTCCCCCTCGTTTCTTGTCCTGCATCGTCTCTGGCGTCCACTCCGACTAGCTGTCAGGACAACAGACGATTGACCTCGGAGACTCCACCATGTCTGGTTGGCTGGAGAATGGCTTGGGACTCATCTGCCTGCCCCCCTCCAAAAACTCCACCCCTCCTTCTCCCCCTCCCACTGCACTGCCCTTTTCCGTTCCAGCATGCAACCTCCCTGACACTGACAGGAGCCGGATGTCAGAGTGCACGTTGGCCACCGTGTGGCGCCGCACGCCGCCGACCTTCTCCAGGTAGGCCTCCCCCTCCTGCTCCACCAGTGGCGCTAGAGACGACGAGTCCAAGGAGCTGTGATGCTGAGTGATGGTGATTTTTGGCTGGGGTTGGTCACCTAGCAACAGCCCTGGTGACCGCAGGTAATGAGACTCTGTATGAGGAGAGATGGAAAACAAATCATTTTAAACTCTATCTGAAAGATTTAAAATCCAAAATGCCAGGATGAGTGTGAGCAAGATGTGGGACTGTAAATTAAGTTTTTAGTCACAGACAGATCTGTCTGTGGTCTGTCTGTCTGTCACCCCAGTCCATATCCATGGACTGACAATTCTCAGTCAGTCCCAGTGTTGCCGACTGTTTTCAACATAAAGTAGTTAATCCTGTTAAAGCCACTAGGTGGCGCCACAACCTAGCTGCTTAAACACATGCAGCTTTATCTTCAGGGTCTCAGTACTGTTCCAAGCCGCTATTACCACATCAGTACAGATCCAAATCTGCTGAGTGGATTGAAACAGCTCGTCACCACTGAGCCACGCCCTCTGACCTCAGGCACTTAAACACCTCTACATGACATTATCAGCCTCTTTCTGCTGGGTTTTCATCTTTGGCTCATTACTCCATGAGCTTTAATCATCCATCGCTTTTAAAATCAAAAGTCTGAAAGTGCTTCACACTGAAGTTGCTCTACCTACAGGCTTCAGCCTCGAGGGTCCAGACTCAAATCAACTGCGTCCTGTCAGTGTGACTCCCGGCGAGAGCCAGTGTAACAAACACAAAGCTGTGGCAGGTGCTGCTGCTTCTCACAAGCCTGGGTGCACCAACTAAGTCTGGCCTCTCAAAAGAATTAATACCAGACAGCAACGCAAGACAACTCCTGGCCACACTATGATCAGTATAAGGTCACTACCCACATCAGTGGTACTGACCTAACAGCAGCTTGGTTCTGTTGTGCAGGACGTTGCAGAGATACGGAGACACGACGATCTGCACCAGGCGCTCCAACTGGCAATACTCCAAACTGGGAGCAGCAGACTCATGGATGCCCTAAGATGTACACATAAGAATTGGCAACATTGTTTAAAGGAGCATGTTTGAGCTTTAATTATTAGAGACTCTGAAGAGATGAGAAAAAAAAAAAAAGGTTTAAGACGTGGGCCAGCTCAGAGGTGACAAGTTCCTAGCAGGTGTGTGTGTGGGGGTGTGTGGTTGTGTGTGTGTGTGTGTGTCAGTGAGAGTTTACCTGCAGCACCAGCAGCATCTGTGTGACAGGTGGGGGGATAGAGGATGCAGCTCCCAGGGTTTCCTCCAGGTGGAGCTTCAACAGCACAAGGTCTCTGAAGGCCAAGAGAGCTATCTGCCTCACTGTGAGTTCCTGACCCTGAACACACACACAGCTCAGCAGGTTAATCCACCGACACCACGCTCAGCTGATCCCTGATGATCTAAGGATCTGAATCAGCATCTCTGGGAAACACGCACACGTCATTAACATACTGTACATGTACATGATACACAGACAGGAAACAGAACGCCCCATTGCAACACAGGGCAGTTCAAAATAATGAGCAAGTGCAAAGAAATTAAACGGCTGTAGATAAAGTTAAACTGTAAATTTTCAAGAACAAACACCACACACTCGTTGTCTCAGTGTGCAGACACACTGGCAGCGACTGTATGAGTTGAATCAAAACCTCAGAGTGTGATGCTACAGTCATGCTAGCAGCTTGGTGCCAGCGGGGCCTTTCCAACAACACGATTTCTCAGAAAGCTCAAATTACTCATGGTCAGAACATAAACATTTATCATTACATCATCCAGGAGAGTCCTGACCTTGTGTTTGGGAACATTCAGGAAACACGTTTCAAAGACAAGCAGCTCTTAGACTGTGTCCACGTCCAGCTGAAGGTTTCCTCCCAGTGACCCAGACCTGGTACGTCAACAGCAGTGTGAACAGACCAGGTGTCCCCAGACCAGATCTGATGGCGCTCGCACAGTCAGAAGG